GGATATGCAAGATGCAGTGGCTGTAAAGACTTCCACGAAAGCTCTTGCTGCGTGGGTCTGGAAAAGCAGTTCTGTGCTCTCTCTTCACTTTTGATGCCTTCATGCACTTCAGCTACCATTTCAGAGAGCAACACAGCAGTGAAAATTGTAAAACCACCAAAGCGTAAGATCATTATTCAGTGCCATACACCAGCAAAGCCAATTAACTTGAATAGGAAGTGGCTTTTAATGTGCATTTGGGGATTACAAGCTAGCTGGAGGTGGGAGAAATGGATACTTACAGTTTCCATCTCATTTGCTGATGCTAAAAATATCTGAATCTCTCAGTGAAACGCTGGTTTTCACTGAGCTCTGGTTATCTAATACCTAATAATAAATATGTAACATCAGCAGATGTTGATAAATAGATGTGTATTGCAAGTCCAGAAACACTTTTAATGAGGAACTGTGTGCTAGACTACACTATAGAAGCAAAGGTTTTGTTTCTAGTTCATTTTGGTAACGAAAATCGTTGGAAAGAAATTGAATTTTTTTGGTTTTGATGTGTATGTTCCTAAAATGAAGTTGTTGAGGTTGAATTTACCAAGTTGGAGAAACAAATGTATATGATTCCAGAACATTACCCTTAGATAACTTTGGCAAAATAACTGTGACTCAAGGCTTACTGTCTTACAGTGAGGCTTTTTCTTGCGAAGGTCATAAGGTGAAGTGAACTAGGCAAGCAGTGTTTACACTGTTTATAGATACTTTCCTTCCAACAAAGGCGTTTTCCATTTATTATGATAGTACATGAGTGATAGGACCTCTTTTCAGACTTGGGTGGGGCTTCCTGATCCTAACAAGATATTTCCATCTTTTCTGTTTTAACAAAGTAGTTCTGCTGAAGTCAGTGAAACTAGTCTGTGCAAGTTAGTAAATGCATAAATCTTAAATATATGTTGGGGCAATTGCTAATTCAGGACATATGCAGTGAGTGAATGAAAGAAGAAAAAATTTCTGTAGTAGAAAAAAAATTGTTTCATTTGTAATGTTTATAGCTTTAGGGTTTGGGGGTTTGCTTGTTGGTTTAGTATATAATTTCCAGCTAGTGCCAGCAATTATTCCTTGGTGAACCCTACTTCCATCTAGTTTCAAAGTGTTAATTGTGAGTCAGAAGCAGTATTTGTTTTTGTTATTCCTTTTTTTTTTAATCCATTCCAGAATGCATAGCCTTTCCTTCCAGAAAGTTGCTGATTTGATTCCTGCCCCCACCCCCTTCCCCCCACAGAATTTTAAGTTGGTTTTTTTTTTTCCCCTTGCTCAGGGAACAGGTTTGAAAAGGATGGTTTTCCTTGTACACTATGCGTGTATGTAGGATGAATCTGTTATCAAGAAAGTGTCATGAATACATGAATTCCTTTTGGATTACGCTCTTCTCTTGTTTCACTCCTCATTATAAATCTTGGGTAGTTAGGAATCTGAAGGGGGAAAAGGCTATGTTATTATTTTTGGTTAATATTCTTGAGGCCTTTTTCTGATAATATAATTAAAGTTGCGACCGGGTCAATTTTAAAAACCATACTTTTCCTACATCTTAATAAGTGCATCTTCAAATTTGATTATCTGTCTTTTCACTGAGAATTTCTGCTTACTGGAAAAATTATTTTTTTAAAGCAAGAGCTGGGAGGAAAAAAAAAACACCAAAACCCCCAAACCTCACCTCTCCCAAAACCCTCTCAACCCCCACAAAAAAAAACCCACAAGGCCCACAAAAAGCTCTGCTTAGACTATTTTAAAGGATAAGTCTTAAAAGTCATTCATAGTTGTGATTCTGATGTTGTGCAGTGTCCTTTCTTTAATAAAACAGCTCTGGAAATTGTCCATAAACTTAACTTAGATTGTACTGCAAATGTGTACTCAAATCAGTTACAATTAAGAAAATGACTAGACATTTTGGTAACACCAATTATAAATAAATGAAAATCTTCAGGCCCCCCCCCTTTTCTTCTCCTTTCACCTAATTTCAGATTTTTTAGTCAACTCTTGACTTTTTTTATACAAATATCTTGATGCTAAATTCTGCTTCTGCTGATATTCTGCAAAAGATAAAATTCTTGAGACTTGCACGAGAGCAGGAGTGGCATGAATATCTGGTTGGGTCCCTGCCTGCCAGGTTGCCCTGGAGCCAGCGGTAGACCTGTGCCTGCTTTGATCCATGGCTACTAGGGCGGTAGCTACGTTGAAGCTAGCATTAGAGCACTCAAGAACTGTTAGCTAAGGCTCTGGACATAATGTTTACATATATTAATGTTTTATTTTGTATTAAAATTTTATATGAAGCTATTAACAGTAGTTGCCCATTTGTCTTCTAGCAGAGGAATGATCCCATTGGTAACTAATTGCTGGATGAAGGATGTATAATAAGCAAAAGGAAACTCCCTTCTTTTTTGTCTCCTTTCTCCCTCCCGCTCGTTAATCAAGAGTCTTAGAAAGTGTTATTAATGCAGAGAAAGAGAGTGTAATATACTCCCTTGGAGTAGGATGGAGAGGCAGGTCTGTCCTTTATCCCTATTTACCATCTGTGTCTTTGCACAGGCTTTATTCTGCAGCATGTAAAACCTGATGTACGTGTCCACCATTTAATAGTTCGTTAACAGCACATGTGTGTTTGCATGTATGCTACAAAGATGAACTTCCTCAAACAAATGACACTACTTCTAAAAGTGCTTGAGAATAGTTTTTCATTTAACCTTCATGTGAAGTTACTGAAGGTGTTTTCAAGTTAGCTGCAGTCATACAATGAATACAAAAATAGCTATGAAATTGAATTTGTGTGTCCAAGTATATCAGCATCTGCTATTAAAATTACTATTCGTGAATAGTAAAAGATTGCAGAACACAAGATTAAGAATAAAATTTTTATATCTATGTAAATAAAAGTTCTCTTCATGCATAATATGCATTCACATATATATAGACTTTTCTTTTTGAAGACAAAATTTTTCAATTGTAGTAAGGTTGAAAAGATTAATTGGGATCTGTATTGACAAAGGTAGGAATACAGAGGTTTTAAAGTAACTGCTGAACTTAGAAATTATATATTTGACCTTCTGTCTTCATAAACTGAAGTGATGGCAGGGTTTATTCTGAAGAAACTGAAGCTAAAAAAACCAAACAACAAAAACATGGTTAAGTTACGGCTGAATCTCCACCATTCAGCTCCCTTTTTGTGCAATTTTTGTAATTACCTGCAGTAAGAAGCTGAAGGGACAGGCTAGAAGGGGAGGAAGATCCTACCTACAGATTCCAAATGGGTCTGGGGACCGGTGTAGTTTGAAAAATACAGCTATAAATGTTTGTGCGTGTTAAATCTGGGAGAGAGATGCTGGCAAGCTCTCGTTAAGCCTCCGGACTCCTTTCTGCCCGAGAGATTACAGAAGCAGATGAATAAAACGGCAGTGTAGAACACACTTGACGTAGTGCTGCCGCCACTCTGTACGCGCTTACCGTGTGGTGGGCTGTCTAGCAGGGACCTGTTCAGTAAACTAACACATTTATCTAGTATTACTATTTATCTAGTGTTTTAATAAGTAAAAACATTCTGCTAATGTATCTTACCAGTTCTCTGAGTGATGTTGAGATGCATCTGCTGTGTCTGCATGATACTGGAGTCTCTATGGGGCACTGTTAGGGCTGTGCACACTGTTAATACCTACAGCACACAATCCGGTGGAGCTGATGAGGTGTCTGTGGGCGCATGCAGAACTGAAAAGAGCTGCCTTTTACATTTTAGTAACTTTTTCCTCCCCATGTAGTAATTAAGATATTTTCGTTATTATACGTGATCACCAAATGACCTACATATACTTTATGTATAATTTTAAAGTTATTTGGCCAGCATTTTGGAGTGATTTCACCTTAAACTTAAACATACAAGTAGGATATATTTTGCTACTGTAATCTTTATCTTAGTATGGTGTACAGCTGAAGTTCTTGATTCAACAGAAAAATTTGAAAATCCAGGGTGGCGATCACAAACGTAAAGCAGTGTCACCTGTTTAACTGGAGCGTGCAGGTCCTTGACAGCTTCTCTGTCCGATCTGCCAGGCCACCTCTCAGACGATTAGCCTGGGGTGTCTGAAATGTCACTGGTTTTGGCAACTGAGTCTGCCTTTAATGACTGCATCTACCTAACATCTTTATAACAACAGATAGCCGTTGTGGTGTTTTAATTAGACAGAATGGAAAATGTCCCTTTTTTCTTTTCTGCTTATATTTGAAATCCAGCCTGGCAAACATAAAAATAAAATTAAGTAGCTGAAACTGGAAAAATTCTGATTCTTTATATTTAGATTTTTGAGTGCAATACAATAAAGAGCTTTTTTAATGAAAGAAAACTTTTAAAAAGACAATTATCAAAAAAGAGGACAATCCACTCAATCTTAGTGAACATACCTGCAAAGCCCTTGTGGTGTTTGCGTGTTGGCTCTACCTGAAAGCCTCTCAGCAATATACCATAATTAAAACTTAGAAGAAGTGCCTTTTGCCAATAGAAAGTGTCATCCAGGTACAGTCACACGCAGTTTTATGCCTTTTTCCTGCTCAGAGGATAGTCAGTAACTGAAAACTTAACATTTCTTCATTCAGTAGTACCCAGAGGGAAGCAGTGGCAGGTGGAAAGGTCTGTTCTTTATTATCTCAAAGAACAGTCTCAAGGGAGACAAAGCAGGTTTTTAGGGACCAAAATCTTGATTTTATAGATTGAGATTATATTGCATGAAACAACAGAGCTTGCCAGCAGGACAGTGGGTGTAAGCGCAGTGGTATCTCCGGCTGGTCTGGTCTGCTCTAGAGACCACCTCGCCACATCCCTGGCAAGGCCACCCACTGGCAGAACTGCATCCAAACTGGGAATTTCACCAACACAGCAACGTCAGTCTAGATGACACGTACTGTGGCAAAGGTCTAAAAACGTTGGGACAGTCTCATGTAGAATGGGCAGAGGTCTATGAGCACGTAGGATGGCCAAAGGTCTAGGTATGTTGAACACTTAACGTAGAGCTGGCCTCAGATCCCTGCTGGCTTTCCTTCTGTGTTGGGATCCCTGCTCTCAAGGGCTGCGATATCTACTATATATAAATACATCATGAAACCAAATACCATGGGATATTATAGAGGACAGAAGTGTATGTAGGTTCAACAACAAAGTAGGAAAAAAATAAAAATTAATGGAGGCCCTACCTGCTGGCAGTTACTCAGGTGCAAATTTCAGGAGAGGAGGTGTCCAAGCAGCCGGTTGGTCCTTCTGAAATGTACTCTCAGCTTCCAATAACCTGATTGTCCTGCTCGAGTACTTGTTTTCTCAACCAGAAACAGGATACGGATTTCAAAAGACAGAGGTTTCCTTGTGTCTCATCGGGACAGGACAACCTTCCTCTCTGTCTTGAGCAACCACCAAGAGGCTTACACATTGATATGTGGAGCAGAGTGTGTGTGGACATGTTCTGGCCCTGTTTCCATCAGTCTGAATAGGTTTCTCTTGCCCTTCAAAAAGGGTTGAAGCAGCGATTAACATGTCGAGTTTTTACTTCTGTGAATATTTATTTCAAAGTAACATTAAAGTACTGAAGGAGTCCTGCAGCATTAGCTGGTGTATTACTGCTGCAGGACTGCTGCTGATATTTTAACTGGTTTTAAGTTATAGTCTTTTTCTTTAGAAATGCTGCTTGTAACAAAGTCCTAGATGAGCAGCTGGCCCTCTTCAGTCAAAAATGAGGCACAATCTCAAGGAATTAGCCCAGCAGTTAGATGCATGCCTTTGAGAGTGGGGACTCTTTGGAAAAGGGGCTTTTGGGGAGGGCTGGGCAGTGGAATAGAAGTAGCAGCAATTTGTGTGTGTGTGTGTGTGTGTGCATGCTTCCTTACAATAAAATCTGTGACGTTGTTACTGGGGCGGTTTCCTTATTCTTCTGCAAGTCTGGGGGTAAAGGGTTCTTAGATTTTTCTGCCAGTTTTTGTATTCATTACTCTGGTTGGCAGAAGGCACAACCAGCCCGCATTTACACGTCGTTTGCTGCTACACGCCTTCCTCACTGAGGGATCAGAGGCTGAGCTGTAAGTATGAGGAAGGCTCAGGATAAAGCTGAGCATACAGACTATTAACCTGAGGTCACTTATCCCAGGGAAAGCTGCTTCGCTGTGGGGTTTGGGTTTCACTCCAGCCTCTCTGTGCCCTCTGCTGGCAGTTTCCCTGCCGAAGCAGAGATGGAGTTACGTTATCTTCGTGCTAGGCTTACCCCTGCTAGCTTGCTGTTTGCAGTCTGCTTTACCAAACAGAACTTGAATTCCTGTCATTAATCAAATTTCTTGCCACAGGTAACTGCTCTGCCCATTACATTTATAATATATATTATATGAAGATGTGTAGTAAATATGCTAATTTTGGCTTTAAAAAATCATCCCACAGTACAAGTTATTACCCAGGGGATAGTTACTCTGTTGTTCAAAGCTGTATTTACTTTTCGAAGGCAAGCAAATTTCTGGTTTTTGACAGGCATGCTGATTCGTGAAGTCAAGTACTTGAGTTAAGAAATACTAGTATTGAGGATGCCTGTGCTATTTTAATGCTACCCTTGCTGCATGCATATGCATTTTGATGCCTGTACTTATTAGATTGCGTACTATTTTCTTCCACACGTTTTTTTGCACGCTGGTGTGTCGCACATGTAACGAGCAGCAATTCCATGTATTTGTTGTTTTACCTGTGATATAGCCAAGTCTGGAGTGCTGTTCTCCAAGACAGACTTCAGATTATAGTTCTGCCTACTTTCCAGTTTCAGAAAGAAATGAAGCAAGAAGCACTAATCGCTTTGAACTTGGTTCACCTCTTGAGGAGATGCATCCTATGCACTGAATAAACGAAAGGACCTAAAAGGAAAAAGTGCATAATTTATGTGTAAAAGGAGGCAAAATAAGGATTGTACAGACTGCTTCAATTCTGATACATCCTCATTTCTTAAGTGTCTGGCATTACAGCCGTGATCTTCTTTTAATATTACCTGAGCGGGCTTGGGACATCCAAACTCTTGAGAAAGCCAATGTGAAAAATTGTGCATCAACTTTGGATAGCTATAGCAGTTGTGAGCAAGGCTGGAGCTTTTAGATCCACTTCTGCCAGTTGCATTCATGAGGCAATCAAAGCAGAGATAAGTTTGCTGTAATTTTATTGACAAGCATAATGGGATGTATTTTTGCCAGTGGGTTTCACAGAAGTTGCTGAAAGCAGGGGAGTGATGAGAGTCAGGGCAGGGTTTTGTGAACATAATCCATGGACGTGGACTGTCTTGCTGTTCCTCTCCCCATCCCTCCAGCTTATCCCCATCCTGGTTTCCATTCTTCAGGTTCCACCTCTCCATCTGAGTTGCATCCCTTGCTGCAGAAGACCTTAGCTCCTGCCTCTGGTTGCCTCTTTCCCTTTCTCCAGCCTCGACTTGCTCCCAAGCTCAATCTTCCCTCTTTGGGCTCTTGATCCAGTCTTGATCTCGCCTCCTCTGCTGCTTCTAGCCTAAATTGTAGGTTTCGTGCTCTTTTGACTTTTAGATCACTGAAAAACTTTCCATTGGAGCTGTAATTTAGCTATGCTGACAACAGGACTCCCCTTCTTGACTTCTTATTGCAGGCCCCTTCAAAGTAGTTGCAAACCTTCGCCATGGTTGCTTTACTGAGCTGCCTCCTCTTCTCTCCTCCCTGCTTGTCAAATCTGACAATAAATGGCAGCCAAGCGAACAAACAAGCAGGCTAGTATGGCAGTAGGATGAGACTTTGCTAATAAATAGATATGTATTTGACCCACAAATTCTAGTTGTAATTAACCAGCTGGGAGCTATAATCGCAATTTTCCAGAGGCCTGGCTGCCGTCAGGTAGTCGCCGTATGTGTGTGCAGAGGAGGATTAGAGATGGTGTTTGAAGGTGCTGCTGGGGGAAAAAGCAAGCTGTTGTTCTAATGGGAGACAGCTGAGACCTGCGTTTTTCACCGGTCACAAGGGACCACCGAGGCTGGTTTTCATTCTTCTTACAGAACCATGCATTTTACAGAACGGCACTTGCTACGCAGAACCTTTGCTCCCGCGGGCAGGATGCCCTTGGAGAGGAGCCTGCAAGTGTGGTTTTTTGGGAAGAGAGTCGGGGTTACAGTCTAAGTCACTTTTCCGCTCATATTTATCTGATAAAATTAACAGCTGCAGTTCTTAGAGCAAAAGGGAAGGGGACTTAATTATAATTCAGTAACTCAGTAGGGAGCCCAAATAATGATTGCAAAGGATGTAAACTGTGCCGTGAGACGCTGCGCCTGTTTGCACTGCAGCCCCGCTAAGACCCCAGGAGATCCTGAAAACAAAGAGAGAAAGGAGGGCACTGGAGGCCCCGTCAGCTGTTTTGGAAGGACACCATTCTCTAGCTGGTCTATCGAGTCACTAGCTGGTGAGCTTACCTGTGGTATTGCAGGAGGTCCATCCAAGGTCCATCTGGCTCCTTGTTCCAGGGCACGCAGGCAGGTGACCCCGCGGCACCTCGTGTGTCACGGTCTGCCTGCCTGCCTTCTTAAATTGGGCTTTTCGGTGGCTCATGCTGTGCAAAGAACTGGGGTGTCTGGATCCAGGTACAAAACATCCGTAGGCAACCTCCTCCCAAACAAGTAACCTGCTTTTAGATGCCAACCCAAGGAGGAAACAAAGTGTTTCCTACTTGGAAAAGAGGGCAGGAGGGCTGCTGCCTCCGTAGCCTCATCCAGCACTAATTGCTGGTTGCTGAAACGAGCTGGTGCTGGTGGTTTCCTGTGGGCAAGGAAGCTGTGGGGCTGTGTTAAGCCATAAATATGAAGGCTGGGACTCCACATAGCATTAGACTATGAGAGCTGCATACACCTTTTACTGCTTTCCTGAACTACCTTTTTCTTTTTTAGCCAAAAACTTTAAAATGAGGTTATTAACAAAGATGAATACATGTTAGTTGCATCCTTATGGTTTTTCTCAAGAAAGTTTTAAATTTTGAGACAAGCACTGACAGCATGCTTGTTTGCTCGAAGAAGAGGAGTCAGGCATTTACACTGAGGAACTCTGTTTGGAGTTCGGCAGTAGGTAGGAGACTGTGCTCAAGATGTAGCCAAATCCCAGCTTGTTAATCTGCCCACATACAAGTGCAAAGTCATTTTTGTTGTTGGAGCTGTTAAATGCCATAGATTTGATTTATTTTTTGTGGATTTTTTTAGTTCTTTTGGATGTTTCTTTAGTTTTACTAACACTTTTTTAACACTTTTTTTCCCCCTCTCTCTCTGACTTCAGCCATTGATGGATTTCTAAAAACCGATGAAAGACAAAGACTGGCAAAGGAGAGAAGAGAAGAAAGGGAGAAATACCTTGGTAAGATGGCAGGAGGTGTATGTATTATTTATGTATACGTGTTAATAGGCTTAAGTTACTAACATGACATTTTTTCTGTTCTGACTTTTAAACGTTGTGGTTTAGTCTGTTCCTAGTCTTTATGGATTATATTACTACTTTTACATTAAATAATAAACATTAAATTAATCTGTCGTCTTTGATTTCCATTCGAGTATTTAATATTCTATAGTTACAAGTTGACTTTCTTCTTTGATCTATTTACTTTTGAATATAGGTTTATGTGCAAGATACTGACTGTTAGGATTCTGATTTGTAAAAATACCAAATAAGCCTTGAATAATATTCAGGATAATATGTAGGATGATTTGGTGAAACAGCCTCAATTTTAGTTTATTAAGTTTTAGCCATATTAAGAGATATCATAGAGTTGTTAAGTATGATATAAAACAGATACTTTTCCATAAGTTTTAAAATGGTTAATTTTTCAAGAGAATGAGAAAAATTATTAATTCATTTCCTGAATAACATAAGCATTGTTTTCAGAGTTTTTTTAAAAAGTCAGTTGTTTTTAATCTACTAATACCTCCAGGGAAATGTTGAGGAAATTGCAAATTTTATATATATATTAAATAAATAAATAAGGGGGGGGGGGGGTATACAGAGTTAATTTTATACAGATATATGAATGGAATTAACTGTTCAAGATTTGTTTTGGACTTTCTATATATACATACGTGTGTGTGTATATATTAAAAAAAATGTTGGACAGTTAGCTTCACTTTTCCTCATTGTAATAACAAGAAAAGCCAGTAGCACTGTTCCTTAAGGTTACCTGACAATACTTATCAGAAGGAATTGTCAGTGTTTTATGATTTTGTAAAATTTAAGCTAGGTGTATATTTTGAGGAAGTGTCAACTAAAACAGTATGGATACCTGTGAGAAGAATCATAGGAAAATACTGTTTTTCTTGCAATAAACAAACAAACAAACAAACTGTTGACCATTTCTTGGCAAAACCTGAGGCTTGAGACCAGTGACTTGACATTTTTTAGTACCATGGGCTTGGTGAGCAAGATAGCTTTTGGTAGCTCCTGTGAAAATCTGCTGGTGTTTAGTACTTAATCTCCCCAGAGGTTCTGTCTATATGGGGCGTGCACCGGCCTGAGCTGTAGCTCTCACCTCTTCCAGGTATACTCAGTCCAGATTATCTCTTCTGTCCTCTTGATTATCTGGTTCCCAGGAAAGTGACATGATGAGTAGATTGGAAAGGACTTGGATTAAAAAGTAGAAGAGGAGATGAGAGGGAAACTGAAAGCTGGAGAATCTGGGAGTGGTTGGCCCAGGGGATTTGGAAGGTGTTAGCTGCAGTTCTTGTCCCCAGACATCATACCTGCCTTCTGGAAACACATTTTTTTAGGGTTAAGACCATTTCTAGAATGGGGAGTTCTGGGTTTAGGTCACAGTTTGTCTGTGGCAAATTTAGTTTAGAAGTTCAGAAAAAAGCAGTGAATTCCCCAGAAGGACAGATCTTTATGGAGCCAGCGGGTACTTTGCAGCAATACGGAATAACCTTTTCACCAAAGCCAGAACTCATTAATCAGTGCTTTAGTATCCCTAAATTAAGGAACAGGAATTGTATGTTTGATGACGGAATGGTTTGCTTCTCTGTCCAGAACCAGTCCCAGGTTTCACCTCCTTACCCAGAAGGTAATCTTGCTACAATCTCTGGACACCTCACTTTATTTTTGGTTTTTATCAGCTCAAGCGTGCTGTTTTCACCTGCTCTAACTGGTGTGGCTAGTAGTCATTAGCAATTAGCAACTGGTCACTTGTCTTCCATGGTCTCTGAGGTAACTCTTTATCTGTTGACAAGTCTGATTCTTCATGCGTACAAGTCCAAGCTTGGCTCCAGCACTGACACCCCTCTCATACTGCCCTGTCCTGTGGTGGGAGGAATACTGAATTTTCATAAGGTGAAAGGGGAAGACAGCATCAACTGTATTTCTAACAAGAATAAGGTAGAAGGCATTCCGTAAAGCAGGTTGGATGCGAGGGAGAAGTATTTTAGGAGGATCCAGTATTCAAGGGAAAGAAATGCAACTGTTGGAAAAGGATCTGGTGTTGGAGGGAGTCTGGCTTTAAACCAAGGGCTTGAGGGTGGAGTGGGGCTAAGAAGGGGTGAGGGTCATGGCTGTGGTTAAAGAGCCTGGGGGCAGGAGCTGGGAGAAAAGGCTCACCTTAGAAGAGGGAATTGAGATGGCTGGGCAAGAGCCTAGGACTGGTGGGAAGATACTGAGAGCGAGCTAGAATGGTAAAAATTTGCTGTACAAGGAAACAGGAACTGAAAAAGCAGACTGAGGCTGAATAGCTGAGCAGGATGAAGGACTAGCTCTTGTATAAACAGTGTTAATTCTGGCTTTCCCTAACTTTCAAGTTCCTAGCCTGGCAACTCTGAGAATATTCCTTCTTTGATATCGGCTGTATGTATGTTGGTATGTGACATTACAGGCTTGCGTGTATGTAGGCATGCTTACTGAACTCTTCTTTCCTGCCTTTTTATGGAATACACTTGCATGAGAAGTGGATTTTTCCTCATCATTTGTCACGTTAACTTCTGCTACTTGTTCTGCTATGTAAACCTGAAGCAACAGTCCTGTATGTAATGTTGCAGTCTGAATTTCTGTAACAAGAAGCTAATGTCTTGAGAAGAAGATTATGACTCCAGTTGGAATAAGCAACTGGGCAAACCCTCAATAACGGAAGTAATTTTTTTTTTTCATGCAAAGAGGCAGAAGTGGATAACAATGTAGCACCAAATTGTGAACAGAATGGTGTATTTCCAAAGCTTCAGAGCAAGTTTAGCTTATGTTGTTTTCACATATTTATTTTGAAGGCAGCCCCATAATGAGAAGCACAGTTCTAAAGAAATTCCAAGGGCTTTTGCTTCAACATGTATAACTGATTCACTTTAAAACCTACTGGGAACATTTGTTATATCCGAAAAAAGAATTTGGCTTTAAGCTACAGAGGGATTTGAAACATTTAAAAAAAAAAAAAAAAAAAAAGGAATTGTTAACTATTCTGTACACTGTTTTTACATAGGTAAGGGGCACAAACCATCACCTTGTGTACAAAGGGCTTCCCTATTTATTTATTGAGCAAATCACTTGGTTTACTAATCATTCCAACACTTCTGTGCACTATATTTTTTATCTTAGTGGACTAAAACCCTGTGTACTTGTACTTGTTGTTTTACTCTATTGTGCCGTGTTATCAAATAATTTTAAAGCAGGAGTAAATTAGCATAAAGTGAAATGCACCTTTTTGTCTGCCTAAGCTGCTAGGGAACAGCAGATACTGGAGAAGGAGAGAAGAGCAAAACTTCAATATGAAAAGCAAATGGAGGAGCGATGGAGAAGACTGGAGGAACAGAGGCAGAGAGAGGAGCAGAAGAGAGCAGCCGTTGAAGAAAAACGGAGACAAAAGCTTAAAGAGGAGGAGGTAAGGTTCACTGCAAGGTGTATGGCAGAGCAACTCTGTGTGGTAGCATTAAACATAGCTCAATATTGACATGCATTAAACGCTGATTTCTTTTTTTGGCCCAGAGACATGTGGGCATTACTTTGGGAACTGCAACCGCACATCACCGTAGCTATAAATACTCTGTTACTGCTTGCATATCAAAAACATTTTCCAAAGCTTTTTTCTCTCTTCATTTTTGTCTGATCTCATAGAATAGTCATCTACTTATGCTCATATGTCTGGGACTCTGTCAGACGATAAAGCACCAGCTTTCCAGAAGGTAGCTTTTAAAGATGAGTGTTTCCATAAACTGGCAAGATTTTTCTTACTGTTTTGTTTACTGTCCATGAAACTGAACTGTTTATGAAAATGTTTTGGTTTTCCTCAGTAATATGAAATCAGAAATTCTTACTTAAACCAGTGAAGAATCCAGGTTGGTTTAAAATCCTAGCACAGAACAGAATTAATAACCTATCTTTCGAAGCATCTTCATACCCTTCCTCTCTTCTACTCTCCCTGCTGAGATTGCTTAAAGTTCTTTTTTGCTCCAGTGAGTCCGATTTCTGATGCGGATCTCTGAATGCAGTGTGCGCGTGTGTGTGTCTCTGCATGACATTCTGTAGAAAACACTAGCACTGCCACTGATAAAGAATTAATGATTTTTGGAAAAGGGGGCAGTGGGGTAAAAAAAAAAATATAAAAAAATTAAAAAAAAAATCCAAAAGAAGATATTTCCCTAGTTCCTAGATAAAAAGACTCTAGAAAGCTACAGTTATTAACCTTCCTTTTTTTTCTGCCCCCCATCTTTTGATCAAAATATCCTTTGCAAAAGAGGTAAAACACTTCTGCATGGGATCAGAATAACATACTGCTGTCCATTGAAATTTTTTTGTTGTTTGATTTTTCACTTTAACCTGAAGAGAATATTAACATCCTGCCATTCCTCTTTCAACTGTAACATACTGATTGTGGTTTCTGCATAATAGCTGAAAATTCATTTTAAAATATTTTGTCATGTGTCTTGTTTCAAGTTTTGGTAAGAAAAATGGCAAAACCAGAAACAAACGTTAGGAGATCTCTCTCCTTCTGTGGTAACGTTATTGACCTGACGTGCTCCTTCCCCAGCATTTCCTACTGTAATAACCTTTTGTAGCTAAGCAAAATCGACCCCCTTTATGGGAGCTGTCAGGGTAAGTGGTGAGTACAGAAACTTCCAAAATCCTATCCTCAAAATTTGCACCAGAGCGGGAGAGGTGTGGGAAGAGTGAGCGACCGCCTGCTTTGCTTTCCCTGCCTGCATGGTTTGCCTGTGCTGGAGAAATCGGAGCAGGGCTGTCGGACGTGAGAGAGGCTGTGCCGGCTCAGACCCAAAGGTCGGCTCAGTGGGGACCCCGTCTCCTGCACTGGCCCAGAGGTGGGCATGAGAAGAGACTGAGCACGCAGTGATGTTTCTCCCAAGTATCAGTGAGGCTGTTACAGCTCCCCAACACCTCGTACAGGTGACAGGAGACTTCTCTCGTGGTGAGAGAAAGGCTTGCTGCCTCCAAGTGTTTGGTCCTGATAGGAATACCACTCCTAGCTCTGCTCACTGAGCTGTCCTTCGAGGTTAAACTGTCATAAACCTTTCGGGAGCCAAGGCAGGTCTGGCTCCTTTCCCTTTCCTTTCCTCCCTCTGCCCAGGTTGAGGAACCTGAGGGAAGGCTACATGGGCAGGAGGACAGGAGAGGATGCTTGTTTGGGGATGGATTAGACCTGGTGGGAGGACAAATCTGGGAGCCTCTGAAGGAGGGGGGGGTACATGGGGGAGTAATCTGTAGAACAGGGGAGGACACGGGAAGAAGGAAATTGGGAAAAGGAGACACCAGCACCTCCTGGCTTCCCTTCATGGTTACTTGTCATTACCCCATTTCTCGAATTCCACTTGAATTGTACTAAAGCATCTGCCAAATCTGCGCTCCGCCCCCCCCCCCCCCC